AAGTGGTACCCATTTTCCTCCAGCTTGCTGTCACTTTCCTGTTAGAAGACAAATATGGTTCTGATAAAACTCCGTACAGTAAGGCCCCTTCACAAACACATAAACTAGATCAGCATTCAGTGGGGCTATGTCTTTTCTGATGGTCAGGACACAGAGATAAATGAAGGCTGCAAATACAACAGTAGGGAAGGAGGGAGAGGAAGGAGAGGAAGGAGCTCTCATTCCCTCATGTGGGGAAACATTTCACTAAGTCCAGAAACCTAAAGGGTGGACAGATTAATGAGTACTGCTAGTTATTCCCCTGCAGACTGGTCCACAGGGTCTGCACATTCAATGGTAGCTTGCACGTGATATTGGCTCAAGTCCCCCTCAGAGAAGGATGCTGTGAAACACCAGGCATGGAATCTTGGTAACTAGTGTTTCCTGGAGATTAACCTGTGGTAGCTGGCTTACCTCCTCCTGTGCTGGACACAGACCCTTCATGCTGGGGAAGTGGGCACACTGCCATCTGGACTTCCTGCAGAGCTTCTACTTCTGCTGTCTCAGGCCACACCTGAAAGTTACCACGTTGTGTCTCCTGATGTAGAGAGTTCATCACTTTAAAGAGGAAGAACATGTGAAGGGACTTTAGGGGACCTTGAAATATGCAGCACTTAAGCCAAAGCTATTGTGCATCCCTCTCTGCATGGGTCCTCCCCTCTTCTCTTCCATCCTCTCCAAATTCCTCCTTAGCCAATTCTTTTCTGATGCTTCTAAAATCTCTGGTTCTCATCTTTTGCTCTCCAGCTCCAGCTCAACTATGTCACTTTATTTAGAAGTGAATTTATACTGTGGCACTGGTGACTTTGAAGTCAGAGTTTTAAATTTGCATGTCCATGCAGTGAAACAAGTTAATGTGCCATTTGCAAAGTCCAGATGACAGTACCAAATGCATAAGTAGTGTAGTAGACACCCGAGCCCTGGAACCAGACCAGTGACTCTGCCATGAACACTAACAAGTAAAGACTGTGACTCACTCTGTCATACTCGATCACTGCAGCTTCCAAAAGGAAACTGTGAAGTCTCTCCTTTTTAAAATTTATCTTACTTTCCCTTTTTATTCTTAAATTTTGTTTTATTTGGGCAGGTGTAAGTGTAAAGGACAGGTGTGAAGAGATGGGATTGTGAATGTGATCAAGATACTGATATAAAAGGCATAGAATGAATACATAAACGAATAAATAACTCAGTAGAGAGATAAGTAAATAAATAGATGAAATAAATAAATGAAGAGCATACAGGGTAAAAAGCCTATTCTCCTCCTCAAGAGTGAATGAAATTTAGACATTTTTCAGAAAACAGATATAGCTCATGTCTTGTTTTTTGACCTTGAACAGATGTCTTCCCTATGCTGATTCCCTGCCAGTTTCCTTCTCCCTGAATGCTCACCAGAGGTTCTTTGTGTAACCTGCATTTGGTGTAAACAGCTTAGATGCAAGAATGGAGAACATTAGATAGCGAATTTCTGCCCTCCAGGGTTCCTCCATAGTTCTGTAAGCCTGTATTTAAGGTTTCCTGCCTTT